TTATTTTAAAATAAATTTTAAATAAAATGATTTATTATTCTGAAATATAAATAGTAGCACGTAAGATGAGATTCACCATTGGCGTATGAGCCTGAGGCTTCCCACTGCACGAAAATCATTCGGCAGCAAGCCGGCAACCGTTTTCAATAATCAGAGTTTTATATCAAGTAAATATAAGGGGTAAAAACTTGAATTTATAATTAAAATTTTAAGATGAATAGAGAGAAATTAAAAGAATGATAAGATTACCAATAACCTGTTGATCTGAGTAGAAGGAATTCGGTTTCCCTTAAATAAAATTTCGAATTCGAGTCATGTGAATAGCGAAACAAGCAATGTGAGAATTTCCTTTTAATGAGTCTAATGCGACTCAATTCTAAATTAGTCGGGACTTAATGTAGTTATCAGATATCAAAAAGTTAATAAAAAAAAATGATAAGATTATTTTTATTGTATAATTTATCATTTAATATATAAAAAATGACAAATAAAAACTTAAAGATTTTGAATTAGAATTTTGATATAAGTGGGAAATGATTAAGTGAAAGATAAGGTTATTTTGTATTGTATAATTTATCATTTAATATATAAAAAAATAATTATTTTCTTTTTTACAAATCTTTTCTACCTAGTTTAAGTTTCAAATTTAATAGTTTTAACTTAAAAGGTTTTCTTACTTTTTTTTTTTATAAAGTAAAAAAAAAAAGACTTTTTCTAAATAAATGGTTGAAAGAATATTAATTTGAATTTTAATCATATTTGTCATTATTCTTAAGGAAGATGCCGGTAACAATAAGTTAGGGTGGACCTGCAGACTTCAACAACACATGCAAAAAAATCAGCTTTGTGGGAGGTTGGAAGCTGGAACACGCCACGGAAGACCATTGACTTGCTGTTTACTACTTAAGGCATGTTTGGGTGAGTTTTTAGTAGTTTTAATTTTTTTTATGCTAATTATATTTTATAAATTTAAATTTTTTTTAAAATAATATATATTTTTAAATTTTTGTAATTTTAAAAAATTTTAAATAATAAAAATTTAAATTTATTATTTATAATAATATTAAAAAAATAAAAACTCTCCGTAAGTTAAACAAATCGTGTCCTTAATTACCTACTTTGTCCAGATGAAAACGTGGGCGAAAAAGGTATTTGAAGCTTCATACTTTTCGAGGTTAATGAAATCCGTCCATCTATTATTATTATTATTTAAAAAAAATT